CCCCTATTCTCCCCAAAACACATTTGACTGCTAAGGGAGAAACACTGTGTGTTCCCCATCCACTCAAGAACCTCCAAATGGGCTGGGAGGAGAGGCCATACTACTCTTCTCCCAGATTCTTGCACATTGTGATGGAGTTTTCTGCTATCCTACTGCTCAGTCACTTTCTGGCTTAGCTGAAGGGTACGTGTCTTCATTACTGTAACTCCTCCAGTTTCCATTTTTAAGCAATGCTCTTCAGTAAATAGCTCTAGTGCAGTGGTTTTCAACCCAGGGGTCCCCGGACTATGTCTAAAATTTCCAAAGGGGTCTGCAAAAGGAAATTTCTTAGGGATCCACAAATGAAAAAAGGTTGAAAACCACTGCTCTAGTGCAAGTCCTGCACCTAGGACGGAAGAACCCAATGCACAGCTACAGACTAGGGACCGAATGGCTAGGCAGCAGTTCTGCGGAAAAGGACCTAGGGGTGACAGTGGACGAGAAGCTGGATATGAGTCAGCAGTGTGCCCTTGTTGCCAAGAAGGCCAATGGCATTTTGGGATGTATAAGTAGGGGCATAGCGAGCAGATCGAGGGACGTGATCGTTCCCCTCTATTCGACATTGGTGAGGCCTCATCTGGAATACTGTGTCCAGTTTTGGGCCCCACACTTCAAGAAGGATGTGGATAAATTGGAGAGAGTCCAGCGAAGGGCAACAAAAATGATTAGGGGTCTGGAACACATGAGTTATGAGGAGAGGCTGAGGGAGCTGGGATTGTTTAGCCTGCAGAAGAGAAGAATGAGGGGGGATTTGATAGCTGCTTTCAACTACCTGAAAGGGGGTTCCAAAGAGGATGGCTCTAGACTGTTCTCAATGGTAGCACATGACAGAACGAGGAGTAATGGTCTCAAGTTGCAGTGGGGGAGGTTTAGATTGGATATTAGGAAAAACTTTTTCACTAAGAGGGTGGTGAAACACTGGAATGCATTACCTAGGGAGGTGGTAGAATCTCCTTCCTTAGAGGTTTTTAAGGTCAGGCTTGACAAAGCCCTGGCTGGGATGATTTAACTGGGAATTGGTCCTGCTTCGAGCAGGGGGGTTGGACTAGATGACCTTCTGGGGTCCCTTCCAACCCTTATATTCTATGATTCTAAGTCCCCGCTGCTGCTCATGGTTCCCCTGAACACCAAAGTGAAACTGACATGGTTCTTTTGAATTTCACTGCTACCCACAGGGTTCTGATTAGTTTTCACTCTCCTAAACTTATCAAGACTTTAACAGCAGAACTGCCTGGCTGTGTCCTTGGCAAGACAACACTTCTAGCTTTAATGCTTGTTTTATATTGGGAAGGTTCATGCACGCAAGCAGGGCTAGAATTTTATTTTAATGAAAGCTTAAATTCTGTGGCAGTTGATGGTACTTTCACAGGAAAACTGCTTATCACTGGCAAGGAGAATTTTCAAGGCCTGGACAATGGAATTGTGATTGCTTATTCCAGGGCTGAATTTAGCCCTCTACATTCAGCTTAACCGAAATATGTAGTTTCCTGAAAACTTCTTCAATTTGGATCCATGATATGCAACAGCACAAGTTCAGAGATCCCAGTGATATCTGAGCACAATTCAGTGTTCAGAATTTCAGTCTAACCTTTTTCTTTCAGTGTAGGAGGCCTTCCACAAGATATGCACTAAATTAACAAAAGAAATAGCCTTCCTAAATTGCTAAGATGAATATTTAGCTAAAAAGCAAGATAGCATCTGTAAAGGGCAGGAAAGAGGGAGGGGTGAAACAAGACTTTCATATTAAAGACAGCAATGGGGATAATGGTAGTATAGTCAAAAGTGACAGAATGCGGAGAACTGAGGAAAGTTATATTGGGTCACGAAGTTTAAGTTAACAGCAACACCTTCAGAAGGAGATGGATGGATGGAGGGAGGGAGGGAGGGAGAGAGAAAGAAATGTGGGATGTAGTGAGAGAAGACTGTCCAGAAAGGAAAGGTGGATTTGTGAGTTAGTGTTAAGACGGTAGCTGAAAAACAGACAGATCAGACTGCCCCAGATAAAGCGTATAAAAGGATAACGGATAGTAGCTGAGGAAAAAGCTCTGTAGGTCTCAAAGCAGGAAAGACAAGGGCAATGGCCCACCAAGAGACATCAACTATCAAAGGTAGGAAGCAAACAAGGAGTCATAAAAGCCCAGAGAGGACTTGATATCAGGAAGGAGGATTGTAAAATGCAGCAGAGAGGACAAAATGAAATCCAGGCCCCTGAGATTTTAGCCAGAAAGTCAAAATGAAATCGAGAGAGCAGAAATCAGGTTAGAAGAGATCCAGGGTGGAGTTCAAAAAGAGGAACATGGCAACACTAGGGAATGGCACATTCAGTGTGCTTGGAGATGTAGAGGCAAAAGGAGATGAGCTGCTAATTGGAGAGGCAGGTGTGATAAAGGATGAGGATTTTTTGAGGTTGGTAGAGAAAAGAACTTTAATTTGAAGAAGCCAGTGGAAAGAAAGGTTAAGGGTGGGGGGGGAGGAGAGTGAGTTTAAACTTTGTAAGTGGGAGGGGATGAGGTTGAGGGGGCAGGAGGAAAGGTTTTGGTTGGTTTTTTTTTTTGGAAAATCCCGGGAAGTGGGTGGGTGCAAGCCCACCCACTGCTAAAGGCCCCTCCCCCAGCCTAGCGGGAGGGACCACTGGACGCAGGGACCAACTGATTACGGGGGACAACTAATGAAAAACGGGGCGGGAGTGAGGGTCAAAGGTTCGAAATAAGGATGCCGGATGGAGACACCGAGCAGAGAACCGGCCCAGACAGCGCCCACTGCTCCTCAAAGCTGTCGAGGGAGCCGGTGGACGCTGCCCAGTGGAACTCTGCCCGGATGTGTGAAACTAGGGAGGAACAGAAATAGGCCCCGCAGTCGCAGAGCACCCCCTCGTCCAACATCCTCCTCCTGGTATTGTAGATGGAGACTTTGGCCAGATCCAGGAGGAGGTTGACGAGGAGGTCTCGCGACTTCGTGGGGCCACGGATAGGGTGTGCAAAAAGGAACAAGTGTGGGGAAAAGTGCAGCCAGAACCTCAACAAGAAGTTCTGGAGGAGCCGGAATAGGGGCTGCAACCTGGCGCATTTGAGATAGGCGTGTGCCAGGTTCTCCCTCACGCTGCAAAAGGGGCAGGCCTCAGATGTAGGGGTGAACCACGGCAGGTGCACGCCCGTGCTCATGGCTCCATGAAGGAGCCGCCAACTAATGTCCTCGGCAGGCCGTGGGACCAAGGTGGAATAAAGGCTGGCCCATTAGGGCTCCTCACCCTCTTTAGGTGGAAGATAGTCCCACCATTTGGTGTCGGAGCGGGACACAAGGGTGAGGAAATGTAACGTATGGAGCATGAGCGTGTATAGATGGTTTCTGGGCACGGGTCGAAACCAGACCGGCTGCAGGGTAAGCAGCCAGCTCAGAGTGTGGGAACGGAGAGGCCGGGGGGGGGGCTCGCGGTACAGGGGCCCAAGAAATATGTCCGGAGGGCCAGGTGTGAGGGTTGGGCGGGGAACGCCCTCTCGCAGGGCTCGCTGCAGGAAAGCGAGAGAATCAGGTGACAAGGCGGCCTTCACCTCCTGGAGTACGCGCCCAGGGGTGGGAAGGGTGGAAAGCCCCATGTATTGTCCGAGCGCGCAGGGCTCTACCCAATCCCCTGTCGTAGTCCAGGATGTCTCTGACTCTGGTGGTTTCTGCCAGGACCAACCTCCGACACACCGCGGGAGACTCCACCACCTGCACACGGAGGTCGAGGTTGTGTAGCAGGGGTTCCGCGAGGAGGTCCGCTCCCTCAGTGGCCACAAATGACCTGGCCGCCGAAAAAAGCTTCCAGGTCCAGAGGAGGTCCTGGTAGAAGACCGTCAGCTCGGAGAGGTCTCGCGGAAGGCCTCTCAGATGGAGAAAAAAGAGCTGCCGGTCATATCGGAGCCCTCGGAGGCGGCGGAAGAAGGCGTGCGCCAAGGTACTCCACGCTGGACTACCTGCACTATAAAGGAGCCTCTGCAGGGCCTGGAGGTGGAAGACTATTGTTGTGACCTACCTTTCTTTCTAACTATAGATCTTGTTGATATTTTATTTAAAATCAGCAAAATCCCACATGGAGATAGAAGAGAAAGGAGGAGTTTAGGCGAGAGTTAAAGGTTGCAAATAAGTGCCAAGGGTTATGGTATTCTAATGGAAAAGTAGTGTGATTTGGCAAAGAAGAGAGAACTAAAGACAGACTCAGGCAGCTGAGTACCTCCCTCTAGGCACTGAGTACCTAACTTCCACCAGGACATCAACAGGAGTCATGAGGGGGGACCTCCATCAGCATTTCACAGGACCAGGCACTCAGACATTAGCCACAGTTTTGAGTGTTAAGTGGCTCCTTTATCTCAGGGCCAATTATATCATTTAAGATATTAGTCTCTATCATCTTGGAAAGGAATAACCAAGATCTCAAATCCACTGAAAAATCCATTCAGTGTCCCAAAACTATTAACTAACTTCAGTCTCCATCTCCTTAGCCAAGAACAACCAACAACCAAACAAAAAAAATTCCCAGCTGATTTAGCACAGTCAAACTACATAGCTAAATGTATTAAGGGTAAATGCACAGAGTTTATCAGCCTGATAAGTTTGTTCTCCCCTCAAGAGTTTAAATGTCTAACTAAGGCAGCAGACAAATTCCAGATTAAGCTGCTGGACTTTTTAAAAAAGTTTTATGGCTTGAGAGGAAGCAGAAACTGGCCAAAATATCACTACTCAGGAGGCATAATCATGATTCACATGGTCTATTGCTTCCTCCTTTCTTCTATTTACCTGGCCCAAAACATAAGTAGAGAGTGAATTGCCATCTGAGAAACGTCAAAAAATCTTAAGACTGAAGAAACTCCTCCAACCCTCAAATCACTAGCAGAATAGAGATATTGTATTATTTATTCTAAAACAAGGTTTTATGTTAAAATGTAAAACACAATGTCAACACACGTGCTGATGCATGAACTCACCTGACATTATCTGTTCAAGCCTGTGGATCAGTGATTTTTTAGCACATTCAATATCAGGACTTGGATAATCAAGTACCTGCCTGCACCAAACTAATGGACTAACAGATTTCTGCACTGGAGTCAGTTTCTTCTTTGGTGATGTATATAACCTAAGAGAGGAAAAATTATATGGTGTTAGGTAAGTGGACAGATGATTGGGCATTTTAAGAAAATACTAGGTACTATGCAATTTTTGTTCTCAGCTACCAAAAGGGGAGCAAAAGTCAACATTGGTAGACAAACTGCACATTTACTTTGGTCATTCGTAAAGCCAGTGTGGTGTTCTTCTCATCAGCCCTCTTCCAAATACTCTAAAGAAAGAGAATCATCCAATACCCAAGAGCACAGCCACTACAATCACAACCAACATACAAATAAATCTGAGGAAAGTTATCCAGCTTACAAAAAAATAAGCAGGAAGAATTTTCAAAAAATATGGTAAGTATTTACTGTACCCCTTAAAGTGGTGTAAAAGGGGTATCCGATAAACCTTGGCCAGGTCTACAGTAGGAGTGCTTTGCTAACTACATTATCAAAGTGCTCCTGGTGTAGACATGGCTTATACCAGCAAAACTGTACTTCTATTGCTTTTTTCCAACCCCTAACCCCATTCCCACCCTCCAAGAAAGATGAGCTATACTGACAAAAGAAGTGCAGTTTTCCCAGTATAGCTGTGTCTACTCTAGGGGCATCTGCCAGCACAGCTGTGTTAGTCCAAGATCACACCTCTTCACACCCATGATCAACAAAGCAATGCCAGAAAAGGTTTGTAGTATAGAAAGTGAAATTCATATTACATAATAGAAGCTCAGTTGATAACATACAGACATACTGGATTTGATTTTCAGATATGCTAAGCACTTGTAGCTCCCACCAATTTCTACCGTTATCTGAAAATCAGAGGCATTGTTACTTTTTATACCAACTTAGTGTACAAGGAATTGCATACAAATTATGCCATTTTATAACCAGGTCAAATTTCCAAATCTTTTAAAAACCAAACACACATTTTCCAGTTATTTTAAAGAAAAAAAATCTATCTTTATACCAGGTTTAGTAATGTGGGCATAATAATTATGATATGGAAATCCTGATTTCTGCATTTATGGTTTTGGCCTTAAAGTGGCATTAACTTTAAGAGAAAGGAAAGAGAGCATCAAGGAGTTGCGGAGCTGCTTTTATACATCTCCATACATTAAGCTGCAGCAACTGGTAACCACAAGAATAACCAAACAGTGAGGTTATAAAGTTGGGCACCATGGTACCAAAGGTAAATAGCTAATGTATAAACTATTGTAGTGCCCTTGTACGTAAAATAATGTTCAGTTATGTTTTCATATAAACAAACCTTAACGTTCTCTATTTGAACTGAAGCTACAACTATTCTTCACTGAGGACTAACCACAAGTTTGAATTTTTTAAGTTCAGCCATCTGAGTATTTTCCCCCCCAAAAAAATTCCTAAGGGAAAATGGTATTTCCCAGACATGTACCCCAAATAGTGAAGATTTAAAATCAGACAACGTCTCATCTCATCTTTAGGTTAAAACCAAAGTTTGAAAGTTTTAGCCCTAAAGAAAAGAGAAAGTTTGAAGTACAGGATATCGATAGAAGCCAATTTGCAACCTTAACTCTAGCTTTTGATGCTGCAAGAGCTCTAAATACATACACACAAAAATAAATAATGGAATCAGGGCTTGTATTACCATCAACTACTCATCTAATGATAGCCTTTAAATTCCAACTAAACAGGATTCCAACTTAAGTATTGTAGTTTAGGAACATATGACAAGCTAAGTTAGCCACTCCTCTATACAAAACAGATGGTCAAAAATTCCCATTTCCTTTGTGCCAAATACATCAGCAACACAGTAATTACTTTCCATAGCTCTAGAAGAAGAGTGAAATTAACTGATTTTTCCTCAGCCAAGGTTTCAAAACTTGGTTGAATAGAGCTGATGAACTTTACAAAGGTTTACTATCCTGAAATTGACATTCCCTATATGGACCTTCTGAAGGGACTTGATTTTCGGGAGGAAGAGAAGGGTACAAAAGACCCCCACTAATGAATGAGCAGACCAATTTTTTTTTAAAGCATGCTTTAAGCCACTTCTCCCTCAGAAATGTTTTAATTGTTTTTTCATATACAATAGGGTAAACATCAGTGTTATCCACCAGTTGTTCATAATTTGGGGGGGAAGGGAAGGAGTACTAGGTCCCTTTCCTATGAAGTGATGTTATTTACTACATTTATATAAAACAAGTATACTGCAAAATAGAGAAAGAATACAAAAACTGATTTGACTGTTCTGCTAGTTTCCGAGATTCTAAATGCTCAGTTGGCACTACCAAAAGAGGGTTATTTTTGTAGCTATGTACTACTTGGGCCATTTTATATTCTATTTTACAAGCTCTTTTGGTCTCCTGAATGATTTTGTTCATGATTATACTCAGTGTTTAATTTTAATTAATACCCTGAATACTGAACGTCAAAACTTACATTTCATTTACTAAAAGTTCTGCATCCTGGTGGACTGGTTTAAACTTACAAATGAAGGAACTCAGAGACATTATATTTCTCTACCAGATGAAAGATCAAAAAGGAAAGTCTCTCACATGGCCATGAATGTGTAGCACCATTCAGTTTAATATCTGATACATGCCTTCTCTGGGCATAATCACTGTCAGTAGATTAATCCTAAATTACAAAAGGGAAAGACCGAGATCAAAGTTTCTCTCCATCTAATATCAATCTTGCGACATCACAACTTGATGCTGTGAAGACTGACAATTCAGGCGATAGTGACAAGCTATTACATAAACATTAACGTAAGTCTCAAATTAATTCCTAAGCAAAGATTCTATGTTTAGAGAGACAACATTTGAGACTTGAAAGCCATGCCGATATGGGCTGAGAAAATAAGGACTTTTTTTTTAAAAAAAAGGCTAAACCCTTTTCCTTGTGAAAGAAAGAAATAAGAGTTAAAATATGCATTTCTAAACACTAGGTGGGATTAAGAGTTTATCACTGATCTTCCTAAAGGTGACAGATGATTAAGGTTAAGGTTCTGTCATGGCTATTTTTAGAAAAAGTCATGAACAGGTCGTGGGCATTAAACAAAACTTCTCGGAAGCCTGCAACCTGTTCGTAACTTTAATTAAAAATAACAGGGCGCTGGTGGGTTTGAGGAGGCTGACCACCGCAAGGGCTGACAGCCCCAGCTGCAGGAGCTGAAGCCGAAGAAGTCACAGAATCCATCAATTCCGTGACTATATGGTATACTTACAGAGGATTCATACTACCCACTAGAGCGGACTTCTGGTTCTATAAATGTAAAGGCATTGGCAAAAGGGTTTTTTTGAGTTGAGGGCCTCAGATCAGTGATTATTAGGGGTCCAGGAACCACTGGCAGCACTGCAGCTGCTGTAATTCTCTGCTCGACAGTTGAGTAGCTAGCACCCACTCTGCCCATAAGGACACCTCAACATCATCTGAAGCAGCATAGCATAGGACAGAGAACAAAGGACTCTTGTGCTCTAATCACAGCTCTGATTGCCATGAACTGTGTACTACCACCATTCAGTTTAATATCTGATACATCCCTTCCCTGGGGATAATCACTGTAAATGTAAAGACGTTGTGGCCTTAATTAATATCACAAGCTTTTTGCCACTTTGTCAACATGCTTCAGCCAGTTTCCATAAATTCCAAGGACAGAAGGGACCATTGTGATCATCTAGTCTGAACTTCTGTATAACACAGGTCATAGAACTTCCCCAAAATAATTCCTAGAGCACAGCTTTCAGAAAAACATCCAATCCTGACTTAAAAATGGTCAGTGACAGAGAATCCACCATGACTCTTAGTAAATTATTCCAATGGTTAATTACACCCACTGTTAAACATTTATGCCTGACCGCAAATCTGAATTTGTCTAGCTACAACTTCCAGCCATCGGATTGTATTATACCTTTCTCTGTTAGACTGAGGAGCCCATTATTAAATACATGTTCCCCTTGCAGGTACTTATAGACTATAATCAAGTCTCCCCTTAACCATCTCTTTGTTAAGCTAAATAGATTGAGAGATCCTTAAGTCTATCACTATAAAGCATGTTTTCTAATTATTTAATCATTCTCGTGGCCCTTCTCTGAACCCCCTCCAAATTATCAACATCCTTCTTGAATTGTAGACACCAAACTGGACATAATATTCCAGCAGCAGTCGCACCAGTCCCCAAGAGAGGTAATACAACCTTTACTCCTATCCAAGAGTCCCCTGCTTATACATGCTGTGACAAAGCTCTGTCCTTGTCTCAGTGGGTCCAGCGCTTCCTGGAGGATTTTGCTAGCCTCAGAGGCTCACTGTGACCCTACACGTAGCCCTTCTCTCTCTAGAGGCAAGGGTCACAGCCTACTAAGCCATTTTCATCATAAGCCAGCAAGGGAGGTGAGGAGAAGCCATCCTCCCTCGCACAGTCTCTGTTGTCTCCCAGTGTCAGTGATTAATTGGGGAGGGGGGAGCCCAGGTCTGCCCTCTACTCCAGGCTCCCAGGGACTCTAATAGTAGCAGCTATGGTAGCTGACTTTTTGGAAATAGGAAGTATACAATTCCCTGAGCCACTTCCCCACAGCAGCTCCCACCCAATATCTCCCTCACCATTACTTCAGGGCCTCCTTCCTTGCGCCTGATATGGTTTGTACTGCTTAGTTCCTCCAACAGCGTGACTTTCTCCTACAGCTCCTGACATGCACACCCAGCTGACTAACAGAGAGGCTTTTAGCTAGTTTCAGCCAGCCCCTAATTGGCTTCAGGTGTCCCAATCAACCTGGCTATCTTCCCTGCCTTCTGGAAAGATCTTCATAGAATATCAGGGTTGGAAGGGACCTCAGGAGGTCATCTAGTCCAACCCCCTGCTCAAAGCAGGACCAATCCCCAATTAAATCATCCCAGCCAGGGCTTTGTCAAGCCTGACCTTAAAAACTTCTCAGGAAGGAGATTCTACCACCTCCCCAGGTAACACATGATCCTAATTGGCCTCAAGTGTCTTAATTGACCTGGAGCAGCTGCCATTTACTTATCCTGGTAACAGGGATTTGTTCAGCCTGGG